GCGGCTGCCGTGCACTGGCAGCCGCAGGCCCCGGTAGGCCGGGAGCCGGGCGGCCGGGAGCCGGGCGGCCGGGAGCCGGGCGGCGGGTCAGGCCGCTGCACGGACCGGCCCGGGGTGGGGGGGGGGGCCGGGCTCCAAGGGGGGATGGTGTGCCGGCGCATCCCGCCGCTCGGTGGGTCGGGACGTGTGTGTGTTGAGCGGGGGGAGGGATGCGCGCCGGCTGGAGGTCCGGCACGGGCCAAAATCCCCCGTCGCCCGGGAGTTGGTAGGAATATTTGGAGGCGACGTGCGGGCGCGTGTATGTGTGTGTGTGTGTGTGGGCGGGGCGGGGCGGGGCGGGGCGGGGGCTGGTCCCCCCTCCCCACCGTCCCCCCTGCCTTGGGGGCGGCCGCCCCCAGTCTCATGCCGCCCCCGGGCGCCTGCTCGCGGCGCGGTCCAGCTGGGCTCCCTCCTGCCCGGGCGGAGGGCGTCGGCGATCGAGCAACCCGCCAACCGGCGGGGGCAGGTGCGAGGGTCGGACGCGTGAGCGGACCGGCGGCACACTTCAGGCTGGACGGGCGAGGGGCGGGGGGGGTGCTCCACAGTGGCCCTTACAGGGCCGGGCCACATCGGGCAGCCCGGGGCTTTTCCTGGAGCCGGGGAAACAATAACAACGAGCGGGTGTGCGGGTGTGCGGGCGGGCGGGCGGGCAGGGATGCGGGGAGAGGCCGGACGGGGCCGGGGGTGCGGCGCACCGGATGTTGACCCGGGGGGGGCGGGGGGAGAGGCAGGTGGGCTGAGGCTGGGCACATTGCACCGTGCGCAGCGCACCGGTGTTGGCGGCCCCCCTCGCGCCGCCCCGCGCCGCCCCGCCCCGCCCCGCCCCCGGGGGGATGGTCGCGGACGGCGTCCCTGCCCGGCCGGCCCCCGCGGCGGGAGGCCCTTCTTCCGGGACCCGCGTCGCCGGACCCGGGGGCGGCGGATAAATCACCCCACCGTCATCGCCTCCAGGCGTCGGGCGCGGGGGCACGGCACGCCCGGCCGGGGCCGGTCCCGGAGGCCGCGGAATGCGCCGTGCCAGTGTGCACGGACAGAGAGAAGGCCGGGGGGGGGGGAGGGGGGGTGGGCACAGCCCAGGGGCACCGGGGATCTTGCGGCCGCCGGGGGCGCTTCTCAGGCAGGACGCCCAGCCCGTGTGGGGCCCGCTGGACACGCGCATGCGTGCATGCACGCATGCATGCACACATGCATGCACGCCCCCGCCACTCCCCGGAACGAGACGCCCCCGCTCCGTTGCTCTTCGCGGCGGGCCGGGCGACCCACGGAGATCTCCCCGGCAGCTGGCGACTGTGCTTGGCTGGCCTATCTCTCAAACTCCCCCCTCGCCTTGTGCTTGGCGCCCGGCCCCCCCCCCCCCCCCCCCCCCTTGTGCCCGTCTGTTGCTCCTCTGACACATGGGGTCCATGTGGGACTGGCGCCATGCAGCTTGCACGGCAGGCACTTTTGGGCGGGCGTTCCCAGGAGA